ACGACTTCGTTACCTTGAATTGTTTACCTCTTGAAGTGGTCATTTAGTGTTTGCCATCTTTGCTGGCAATGATTCCATTCTCGTATTGGTAGGCTTGCAACTGAAAAGCTATTTGTAAAATATGCAGCAATTCTTTTCCAAAAAGCTCCCATCACGCACAATTGGATCCTCACTAGTATTTAACACACCAAATGAAAATGACATCTTCAATTTGTGTCTTGTTTCTCTACGATCGGCTTTGTTATGAACGAGATTTGGATCATCACTCTCACCATCCATAGTACTCTATTAAGTACTATATTGTGGAATTTCTAATGGACTTCCTTCTTGTTGATTATTAAGATCCATAAAATTTAAGTAATATCAATTAAACATAATATTAATATATAACTGAAACTTATGCATGATGGAGATTGATATAAATACTTAAAAATAATGTGTGTTAATGTTTTGGTGAAAAAGATGGTTTTTCAAATGAGAACCGATTCTAAAGAGCTTTAATTAAAAAACATTTTCTTTTTGATTTATTTTAAAGCGGAGTATCGCAGGAGAGAGGTGCTAAGTATAATTTTTCTTTATGATTTAGTTTAAGCAATCCATACACAACCAGAGAAGAATCCTTGTTTTGTAAGATCGTATATACCTTGCATTACAAGTAATCTGATGGTGTAAGAGATCCAAATAAACTAATAAAGAATCCTTCAAGAAGTCAAATGCGTAATAAAATTGTTAGTAAATAAGTTTGTTAGATGATAAATAGAAACTTTCCGATTCTACCGGAAGAAATTAGGAAAATTTATTTTAAAATTCCAATATAGACTTATATAAACCTTCATAAACCCTAAGAACGTATCTATAAAAACCAAACACTATAAGCTGCAACATCGCCACCGATCTCTTTTCTTTACCTTCGATTCGCTTTTTGTTTTCCTATCTTTTACAGTTCGCTCTCGCTCTAATAACAAAGATGAGACCTCCAGTAAGAGGTAAGAACCCTAAAAACCAATTTTTTCTAATTGTTTCCGCATCCAGAGCAACTCTGTTCGACCTAAAATATAGGTGGTTTTGTTTAATCTAAATTCGTTTTGATCACAATATCTCTAAGCTGAGTTGAATTTAGTTACCTAGAACTGTGTTGAGACTTCACTAATGAGAGATTTATCAATACTTTTATGTTTATGGTTTATGATCAGGACGTGGTGGTGGAAGAGGTGAAGGAAGAGGCCGTGGAAGAGGCCGTGGGAGTGAACGTGGAAGAGGGCGGCCCGTAGGAGGAAGAGACCGTGGACGGTCCAACGGTGGAGCAAGAGAAAGAGGAGGACTTAAGGGAGGAAACAAAGTGATAGTTATCCCTCATAGGCACGAAGGAGTTTTCATTGCCAAGGGTAAAGAAGATGCTCTTGTCACAAGGAACATGGTTCCTGGTGAAACTGTTTACAACGAGAAGAGGATCACGGTTCCGAACAAAGATGGAACTAAAGTTGAATACAGAGTTTGGAACCCTTTTCGATCTAAGTTAGCTGCTAGTATTCTCGGTGGTGTTGATAACATTTGGATCGTGAGTCACCATCTATTTACACAATGTCTTTTTATTCTGTTTATAAAATAGTATTAAAGGCTTGTTTTCTTGATATTGTAGAAACCTGGAGCTAAAGTTCTTTACCTTGGTGCTGCTTCTGGAACCTCCGTATCACATGTGTCTGATATTGTTGGCCTTGTAAGTGAACCCTAAACCCTAACATGTGTTTCTTTTCTTTGTAATATTTGTTTATATTTGGTTTTTTTAATGGTTCGTAGGAGGGATGTGTTTATGCAGTTGAGTTTTCTAATAGATGTGGTAGAGATTTGGTGAACATGGCCAAAAAGAGAACTAATATTGTACCAATCATTGAAGATGCGAGACACCCTGCCAAGTACAGAATGCTTGTGGGCATGGTTGATGTCATATTCTCTGATGTTGCACAACCTGATCAGGTTTGATCTTACCTTATTTCTAACTAACAAAGTTTATAGAAACCCAAATCTCCATTATATATATGTTCAGATGATGTTCATACTTGGGTTCCACTTCAGTTTTCATTACCATACACTTTTCTTGTTCTTGAATTTTCTTGTAAAGATCCATGCATATAATATGTTGTGTAGGCTAGGATAGCAGCTCTAAATGCATCATTTTTCCTCAAAACTGAAGGTCACTATGTCATCTCTATAAAGGTCAGTAACAAAATTCAACCACTGATTCAACTATCAAATCATTCTCTTTTAGTGTAAATGATTTGTTTGACTAAATAAGTGTTTTTTTTGGTTTGGCAGGCGAGTTGTATAGACTCAACAATAGCAGCAGAAGCAGTGTTTCAAAACGAAGTGAAGAAGCTGCAACAGGAAAAGTTGAAACCTCAAGAACAAGTGACTCTTGAGCCTTATGAGCGTGACCATGCTTGTGTCATTGGTGGTTATCGCATGTCTAGGAAGCAGAAATCTGCTACTGCTACTTAAAATCACGAATCTATGATTATTTTTTTACTTACTTTGTGATCATTATGAGAGTTTTAGACAGAAATATTTTGAGGCTTTTTTTTGTCAGTTTTACTTCTGGTCTCCAGAAGTGGAGTTTTGTTCGAAACGCAAATCCATTTTGAGTTGGATTTTTTATTTATATTTCTTGGTTTCATTTATCGTGGAACCTAATGTGATTTTAGTAGCTTGTTACCAATCATATGATTTTCTCGAAGTGTGATTTCAAAATTTTAAACAAAGAAAAACGTGAAAAGATATTGTTTAATCTGTTTCTTTTTATTTAATTAGACATGATGATATACATATACTTTCTTACATATTGTTTAATCGGTTTCTTTTTAATTACAACTAGTGTATTACCAGTGCCCTGCGCGAGATTTTATTTGTAGATAATGATATGTAAAGAAAATAAAAGATAGCCTTCACCTAGAAGATTGAAATTCAAACATAAAACTCAAAGAAAATTATCAAATTCTAATAAACCTCTATAAATATACACTTTACTTATTACATAAGCATAAACCCTTTCAAATACACGTAAAATAATTCAAACAATTTATACATTTACCAAATTAAGGGTTTGTATGCGTCTAGTGTGGAGAAAAAGATTTTGATTTATGCATGAAAACATGGATTTATAATTAAAAAAACTTATGACTGTGGGTTTGATATAAATAAGTTTTGCTATTTTTCTATATAAATTAAACTTATTAAATTAAGATATTAAGTTCTAATACATAAACCTAAATGTTTACATAAATTATTAATCTTTTTTTATTGTATATATGTCTACATTTAACAATTATCTGAAGTACATATACCATTTATATTTTTAGAAAATTAAAAATTCATTAAATCAATATGTGAGAACAACAATCTAAAAACATACTCAAAAATACATTAAATTTTTTTTTTCAATTAAAAGAAACTAAACCCTAAAAGTGAGGAGCGTTAACCTTAAAGCTGTCATAACCCTAACAAACTATATTGACATCGCATTTATCCTTCTCATATAAATTTATACCAGCATTTATATTATATGATGGCCTATAAATATTTTAAATTGATTTAGATTAATCTTTAGTTTTCACAAAAGTAAGTTTTCAGTCATATTTTTATAATTTATGCATATACCCATTTTATTTCTAGCAAATTAAAAATTTATCAAAAATAATTAATTTTTTTGGAATTAAAAGAAACTAAATCCTAAGATTGGGGACCTTTAATCTTAAAGAAGACTTAACCCTAACAAACTAAACAAAAATGTGGTTCAATTCATCGCACCTAGAGATATAGCTCATATATGTAGTGTTCAGTTTATTTTCGTGGATGTTTTATACTCTCGTTGCACTTATTCTTCTTATATAATTTTTTATCAACAATTATATCATATGATGGCCTATAACTATTTTAAATTGATTTTGATTAGTACTTAGTTTTCATAAAAGTAAGTTTTCAATCATATTTTTTAGAATTTATACATATAGTCAAAANANAAATTCATTAATANATATAANATATATTCAAAACAAAAATCCAAGATAAACCTTAATAATTTATAAATTCATTACAAAAGTGTAAATTCAATCCCTAATTTGTAGCTATTACCTAACATATAATCCAATTATCCAAATTCACATCAAAATTCAAACACATACAACCAATTTTAACACTGATAATTTATTTGGCCAAGCAAACAATTTGATATATCTCTCCGACGTTTTCTCTACAAAATATAAATGATAAGAGCGAAAAGATTGGGATCAAAGTTTTTCCTAAAAAAAAATATCATTCAAAGTAGTTGGCCTCTATTCTTGTTAGATCAGTTCCAACAGGATAAACTACAAAATTTATGTAGACATTAATAAAACACGATGAAAGTCAAATTATTATAAAGCACGTGACCATCCTTATAATAAAAAATGATCTAACATGGTACAATGAATCGTAGTAATGAACACTGAGGGTACAAAAAGTAACACAGGATTGTTGCTAAAAAGAAACATATATCTTACATAGATAATCCTTCTCAACACGACCAACATATATCCAGTGATTAACGTTTCTTCCACACGTATATAATATCCTATAAGGTACATTTTATCTATTGCTCTCAAAGCCAATAAATACTCATATAAAATTTTCAGCATAATCTCTTCTTCCACATATACTTTATTGGAACCGTAATATCCCTCATATTTTATTAATATATGTAAAAAGACTACTCCAAAATTTTGCTTGCAAAGCTCTTCAACGAATGTGAATCTCCTTGATTCTTTTCTAATAAATTCTCTAGAACCTCCAATGCTCTGGCCGATCGTTGATCTCTCCATAGAATTTCCATGTAAACAAAAAAAAAATTA